CAACATCTTGTGGGTTAATCCTGACTGTGGACTCAAGACCCGCAAGTACGCTGAGGTGAAGCCAGCACTCAAGAACATGGTCGCTGCCGCTAAGTTGCTCCGCACTCAACTTGCCAGTGCCAAGTGAGAAAAGCTCATTAGACCTTTGTGTTTACTTCCTTGCCTATCATTTCTTATTCAAAATTCAACCCTTCAAAATTCTGTGTAAATTGCAAACTGAAATGATATTCTTATACTTAATTAATAAAGCATTATAAATATATAAGTTAGATATATAGGTTAGATATATTGATTAGGGATACAAGTCAACTATGCGAGTATTAACTCTCCTACCGACTACTTACTTAATACTTAGTAAGTATGTATATTTTGTGCTTAGTATTTAACTATCTTTTCATAAATACAAATAAAATATTTATTCAAATAAGTCAAGTAACTATATATATCCGATATATAGTCCTAACCTTTATGAATAAGGAATGTGGGCTTAAAGTTTAATTTCATTGCATTAAGCGCGGTGCATATTGGGCCTGCTAATAAACTTTGCCTTGTGGTTTGGATTTGCAGATCGAGAGACTCTTTTTCTACTTCTACCCAAATGATGGCAATATTGGGCGTACTAATAACCGCTTTCTCTCCTTTCATTCAACATCCTGTTCATTCACCGCCCTTGCATTCTTTTATGTTGTTCACGTATACCGTAATGATGATACTGTGGGCCATATCACTAATTGCTGTTGTTAGTCTGGGAGAAGGAGGAGGAAGAGTTCGTTCCGACTTCCACGCCAAATGGAGCGAAGTTATGAGGACTAGCTCCATCCTGACAGGTTTATTAGCGGTAATATCACTTATTTCTCTTAGCCAACCCTATATTGCCTTGATCTCCTTCCTTCTGTGGCTTTTCTTCGCCAATCACCTTATTCGCAGGTTGATTCCGATCTTAAAGCAACCAATATTACCCATTACTAATGCCAATTAATACAATTTTTGGTATGCTGAAAAATTGAACAACAAACCTGTTCCATTGGTGTAAAGGGCACAGGCAGCAATTCCAATGTATCATCTTTTATCATACTTATACCTTTTGTTATGATAGGCAAATCACCATTTGTATTGAACTAGCACTATGTGCCTTTAATTAATATTATGAATTT